CGGATGTGTACACTTACACTACAACTCAGTGTATCAGGTGTGCGGATGAAGCTAGTGGAGCTAGTGGAGTATTAACTTGTATTACCATTTATTAGTTATATAAATTAAAGACTTGAATAAAATTTTTTGTAAATTGTAAGGTAGATGGTTTCAAGTTTGTGAGTTCAGTTGTCTGAATTGGATCACACTAGTCATGCAATGTCACCAAATTCATCATGCATTGCAATCTTGGAAATATATGTGAATGACATTGGTTACTGTTTATTTTTGTTACATGGGGTCGGTTCTTCGTACCTGGCTTAAATGATCTAAGATGATTTGACAGATCTTGGATTCTTCAGTCTTGAAAACTGATCTCTGGCTAATTTGATTCTTCAAACAGGTTCGCAAATCATGTTAAAATGTCTGGATGAACTATTCTGAGATCGCTGCGTGTGTTGTGAAGGACAGATCTGTCAGTCCTCCAAATCATGATCAACAATGCAAGGATTGGCTGACAGCACAGTAGTGTAATGACATTATCTGATTATTATTCAATTATTCATGTGAGCAAAAATCCATAAAACTGGTAGTAAACTCTTCAATAAATATGATACCCAATAACTTTCCACATTTGTTGTGAACTGCAGGCTTTACATTTTCATGTGTCAAGAATATTTGGCAATTTATTTAGTTTTACATTTTAGAGTGGATTTTCTTTATTTTAATAGCCTTGCTAAGCTATTTAAAATTCCTAATCTGCAAATTTAAATGAATTTTGCATTGAAAAAGCAATTTTGATATTGGTAATGGTGTCTGCAACTTCTGCAAAGCATTAAATCAATATGCATGACTGCATAAATTATTATTCCTTTACAAAACAAACCTCCTAAAAGCAGTAGAATATTGTGCATGTCTATTATCATACACAAATTGTAGAGCTGGGTCGGTACCTTAAAATAGTATCTTTTTGAATCTATAAAGTAAATATTAATAAATGCTCTCTTTGATCCCCTTGAGGAGAAACACCCCATTTTGTACTTTTATTTTTGAGTGCAGATTGCATACGTTTTACTTATTTATTTTTATTTTTAAAACTTATGTGTAAATAAACATACATATTATTAATTATTGCTAATTATTATAAATTATAAATCTATAGATAATTTTTTTTAACTATTTGACTATTTTCCCAAGTGTATAAAATCTATAGGTTACTACCGTCAGAAAATGTCAGAATTCTGTACATACTTTCAGTATTACCTTTGGTTGAAATGACATGATATAATCCTGTTCATATAAAATAAGCCTGCTCTCCATTAGGTTTGAGCTACCAGAACTGTTGCAATGACAACAACTCTTGGATGCGTTTCGAAGAATGAAACAATTCTGGATCGTGTCAAATCTTCAATAACCAAATCCAGCTAATTGAGTAATTCACGTACGATAAACAGACCCCGGGACTGCGAAAACCATGTTTGTTTGCTTGTTTTTTTTTGTATTTTTTTTTGTCAGCAAAAGTCTAAAAAGGTGACACCATTTGATCATACTACAGATTACACTCCCACATTGTTGTATTCTGTCCTATAGACAGTCCAATCAGGTTCGGAGACAATTAAATAAAGGAACAAGATACAGCTAACGAGGATGCTGTTGGACACACTGTAACTGTCATTGTGTAGATTTCTCACTGAAAATTGTATTGTATATGTATACTGTAAACAATATTTTGATAAACATAGAACATCTTGAAAACAGTCTTCTTAACCGTATACATGTGAGTTTTGCTTCTAAACGTCTTGTTGAAGGTTCTCACTCGTCCTCTTCTTTCATAGTGTGTCAGATTCTTTGTTTTTGCCATTTAGCCCAAAATCTACTTGTCATCCAGTTAGATATTAAGTATTTTCTATTTCAATGTTCTCTTCATATTTATCTGTGCTGTAGATACTTTTCTAGAAACAGAAGAAATAACTGACTTCTGCTAAATCTCTACTTTTTTCATTCTTGCACAGAGGACAATTTCATAGTGATACCTGCTTTCAAATTACTGCTTCATGAAGCTTCAAATGCCTTATAAATTCATTTCGAATTAGTGGTTTAGAGCAATTGCCAAGTTTTTTTTTTTTTTTTTTTCGAAGTATTTTGACATTGCAATGGTTTTGTGCCGGGGGGCAATTTCTGTGAAACTGCCATTTCTTGGCATTGTTTTGTGGTACACAGTCTTTTTTATCTGATCTCATTCCATTTTGAATTCAAGCTCAGAAGAAAACCGGGTATTTTGTATTCCCATGGCACAGTAGTTTTGCCTGCAGGAAACGCTGCTATTGATTCACCACCGATAATCAACTTTTTTTCAATATCTGAGGAAAATTCAGCTCATCAAATGTCAGAAAGTGGTTTTCCTACTTTATTGCTTCCAGGATTAGTTTCCATGTGCTCCATAGACAGGGAGTTTGTGTGTAATCTGCTTTTGGCTGCTTTCCGATGTTGCAGCCAGCAGGATTGAGCTGATGTACTACAGGTCACCTTGTCCAAATTTTTATCAAAATAACACAGAGTAGATTAGCTAAGCCATTCTTAAGCTTTCCACCCAAACTGAGCTTTTGCTAGCCGTTCTCAGCCCAGTGAGCGTATGAACTCTCAGGATTTCTCTCAGGAAGTCTTATTAATATGCAGACGGAGTAGTGCGATAATGTAGACATGCTACTTTACTGCCCCTTTCCTTTAATAGATAGTTTGCATAATTGAAGGACACCGAGGCTGTGCAAATGAAATTCACTTCCTCACCTCTGCCAGGCCCTGTGGAAAGACTGAGATCTGGGCAAAGCTTGTGCCTGGCGGGTGCTGTGCAACCTACCCTCTGTTACAGCCCAGCAGCAGGTAGGCCGGGAATGGATCTCGCTGTCTCCATCTCCGTATGGCCTCCAGCTGCTGTCATCTGTTTCAAGCCCAAACACTCAGAAGGGGCCAAATGATGTTTTACCCTTCCACTGGGAAAATTATTGCGAGTTCCAGCTCAGGCTCGTGCAAAATTTCGACCGCCCCCCTTCAAACGGGAAGACAAAACAGTTGGGGCATTCCCTTGTAATGAGTTTATTTTCCCCTGTGATGGTGGATTGTATGTGCAGTGCAGATGTAAATTGCTACTGAAGGATGCCAGTAGCAATTCGCCAGGGACTGGGCTTGTTGTCTATATGCCCATTAGCAGATTCACACTCTCATCAGTATCAGCTGTGAATTCACAATTAAGTCACCCGCAGTTCTCTCATCATGTGACAGGCTTGTGCTGAGGGTGGCCAGCGCTAGCAGCTAAGATGACCTCCGCTTTCACTGTCAGGCAAAAATAGAAGTTTTACAGAAAGGAATGAAGAGTTATATTGTATTGGAAAAAAACTTCTGTCTATCTTTCTGTCTGTACATCTATCTGTTCACCTATTGATCCATCTATATATCCACGCCCTTCCAATGTTATCAATCAGTTGAATGGGCATTATCAATGGTTATCAGCTGAGTGGCCAGTAGGGGCTTTCTGCTCCTACTATAGGCTCAGAAGACTGTTATCTTCCATCCACATCAGCTATACTAATAGAGACGACGCCAGATCCAGAACTGTTTTTACATTACTGTAACAGATGGGTTTAAGGTTGGGGTAGGGGTAGACATTAATGAAATATATAAATAATGTGAAATTGGGCAGTGCAGTGGGTAGCATGTTCGCCTCACAGCAAGAAGGTCGCTGGTTCGAGCCTCGGCTCAGTTGGCGTTTCTGTGTGGAGTATGTTCTCCCTGCATTCTCGTGGGTTTCCTCCAGGTGCTCCGGTTTCCCCCACAGTCCAAAGACATGCGGTACAGGTAAATTGGGTAGGCTAAATTGTCCGTAGTGTATGAGTGTGTGTGTGGATGTTTCCCAGAGATGGGTTGTGGCTGGAAGGGCATCCGCTGCGTAAAAGCTTGCTGGATAAGTTGGCGGTTCATTCCACTGTGGCGACCCCGGATTAATAAAGAGACTAAGCCGACAAGAAAATGAATGAATGAATGAATAATGTGAAATCTAATGAATAATATAAATAATTATCGTTAACTTCTGGCCACAGCTGTATGTAATCTGTAGCTGATTAACCATGTGGATGGATGATAACAGCCTTCTGAGTACATAGTACAGAAGTTGAATCACAATGCAAAAAATTATTTTCTTACCTTGTTTTGTCTCATTTCTGGTCCAAATATATAAAAAAACAAATCTAAGAGCAAGTGTAAGACATAGGTTATTTTTTGTTTTACTTCTGAGTACTGGCCCATATCTATCAGTTGATAACCACTGATAACAGCCATTCGATCGAGTGATATATACGAATTGGCTGATATATATCTCTGTATTTTATTTATAATTTATCCAAATATGAAAGAACTTATATGGTATGTTCTTAAGGGACATGATTCTAGGCCTATCATGATATCTGTTTTTTTGTTGTATGATATATTTCACCAAAATATTTTGGGATAATCAATATTATTGTCATTTTAAGACCATTTTATGCCACTCATTATATAATGCCAGAATGGCAATACAATATCATCACAATGCAAGCACACAAAGAACACATAATATTACATTTTTTTTGAATATTTACAAAATGTAAGGTAAAATTATTTTCAGTTGTCAGACACCCACATGAAAATATATTCTAGTCATTTATAGTAAACAGTTTCATAATCTTACTGAAACTGACACCTCTAATAGAAAAAAAGGTTGCACAATTAGCTAAAGTATTTCTAGAATGGGTTTTGTATGGGTTATATTTATATATTGCATCACTAAAGATGATTGAGGTCATGTCCATGTGTTGTGCAATAAGTCGATATATTGATTATTGTGACAGGCCTACATAATTCTGACCTTTATTTCTGATTGAATACATGACTGAATTGTATTGTTACAATGCAAATATTTTTTAGATTAGATAGATTAGATTAGATAGATTTGCAATGCTAAATTAATTCTTATTTTGTTCTTCTTCCAGAATCTTTCTTCTTCGTGTCAGCCTCCTCCCGCACGCCCAGTGTTACATTTGGTGACTCGTTTGACCTACAGTGTATTGTGAAGCCGCGACACAATCCCAACGTTCCCGCTGCAGTCACATGGCGATTTCAGCCAGCAGAGGGCGATGGAGAGTTTAAAGATTTGGTGACTTTCACACGGGATGGTACTCTACAGTGGGGCGATCAGCTGCTGGGTCTGGGCACACGTACTACAGTGGATCGTACGCCCACTAACACCAACTTCCGGCTTAGCATTACCCGGGCTGGACGCAAAGAGGCCGGGACGTACCAATGCGCTGCCCTGCTTTTTCGGAGGAATTACGATGGCACCTGGAGCACAGTGGCTAACCGCACATCCAACCCTCTGGGCATCAGTGTACTTCAGCCTGGTAAGTCTAAAAATGGCTTCCATCGCAGGAAAGGTGCATGTAGGCAACCTGACTGCTTGACTGGGGGCAAAAAACGACCATGACTGTTCTGACACCGCCAAGTTACAGATAGATTTCACTGACACCATTTATCGTTTTGATTTGTAACTTGGAAATGTGCGAGTGGCAGAGTGCTGGAGTCAAATCCCAGCCTCCAAAATGAGCACAAGAGGTATAAAGAAGCACAGATGGCAACTCACACTTTTCTTTCACTTCCCAAATAAAGATTTCACTGATAATGCACCATGTTGTAGTCTGGCCTAGTTTCACAAGTTTCACCCTCACTCGATCTCTCTCCCCTTCATTTGTCATGTGTATTTGACAGGATATCTGTTGTTAAGGAGTGACGTATTGAACATTGTTTCTGGATCCAAGCTTCTACTCATCAATTGAGAAACCCTCAAACTAAATAGCCATTTGTGTATCTGATAGCGTGGTTGGACCCAGAAACTGTGACTTCATACTTAACAATCGGATTGGCGTTTTGTGTGTGTGTGTGTTTGAGTGTGTGTGCGCGCAGATGAGGCAAGTCCTCCTAATGGCCTGGAGTATGTGAGAAAGAGGTGGTTAATATCCTCCATGCGGACGAAAGAAAGCGATTAGACTGGAAGAATATGAGGAAAATAATGGGGGAGGGGAGGGAGAGAAGGTCATTAGACTGAAAATTGGAGCTTATTAAATCCAGTCCCTCTGGACTTCAGTCCCTGGATTGAATAGTCTTGCTCCCTAAAGAAAGGCCACCTCACTGACCTCACACACACACGCATGCATGTTTGTTTGTCTGCTCTGCTGGAAACTTCCATTGGCTTCTATTTTTGGTTCTAAGCAAATTATATTCATCCCATAACCCATTACACAAATCTTTTGCATTTGGATATATAAGATATTTTATGTCATGTTTTTTAAGTGGAATCATAATTTGTGTCTAATTTGAACTCCACTTTATTATTGTTGGTAAAGAATAGTCATTCATTCGTTCATTCATTTATTCATTAATTCATTCATTCATCCATTTTTTATTTATTTATTTTACACTAAGAATGCTTGGGGTTTTAATAGAGATTTAATATATAAATATTGATATTGAAAAATATCTGGTAAAATATTATTTATTGTCATCATGGCAAAGATAAAATAAAACAGTTATTAGAGATGAGTTATTAAAAATATTATACTTAAAAATGTGTTAAAAAGAAAAATCTGCTCTCCGCTAAATAGAAATTGGTAAAAAAATAAACCGAGGCTATTAATTCAGGGGGTTTAATAATTTTGACTTCAACTGTAAATGGTTTGCAAATAATCAAGACATAATACTTCTATTTTCAAAATATATTCATTTTTTGTTTCTTGTCCTGTCTCTGTAATTCTGTTGTACTGTAAGCTCTAGGGTTATTAATTCTGACTTTAACTGTGTATAATCAAGCCCATAATTATTCATAACGTTTGCCAAGTTTTACTTAAAGTAACTGTTATTCAACTAGCAAGTTTTTTTTAATGACAGAAATGACACAGGCTTTTTAACATTTTATGTATAAGTATTTAAAAATGATGTCACTCAACCACTTTTACTTTTACTTAAAACATTTAATTAAACTAAAGCTTCAATGAAGGTTGACCGTAAGGCTGCACAATATATCATGTCAGCACCATCAATATACAGTAGCAATGTTCACATTCACAATATTCAAATCGCAAAGATATGTCAAGTAGTTAACCAGGAACTACTGAATTGTATTTAATCACTGTATATATGGAATTTATATGATTTATCCCAAAAAAATCTTACGTAGAATATGTGTCTTGTTTTTGGTCCAAATATCTACATGTCAATGTGTTAAAAAGATTATTTTAGAAAATTTTCTTAAAACAAGCAAAAATCTCTTTATTTTGGTTTATTTCTTCTGACAATTAATAACACTAAACAATATTTTTGCTTGCTGTTTTAGTATGCCTCATATTTTAGCATGTAAATGTTACAGCATACCAAAAAGGTTTTAGTATGGTTTGTGTTCATGCAAGTGAGACAAGTGTGGTGCTAATCGACAAGAGAAGGCACCAATAAGGGTCCATACACCATACTAATTAAGCAATGCAACTGTTTATTGCTGGTACACACAGCTAATACCAATTATCCCAATAATATTCAGTAATCATGAATCATACTCATAAACATCATTAATCGAAATACAACTAAATTGCATAAAAGGCTTATAATGCGAAATAAAGGTGAGATTACATGAAGAAAAGACAGATAATGAAACCCCAAGCAATTTGATATAAGTATTTACAACCTCAAAGTAGACATGGAACAATACCCGTGTTCAAGGTATACCACGGTTTGGAAAAGTCAAGGGCTGCGTCCGAAACCGCATACTTCCATACTATATAGTACGCTAAAATCAGTATGTGAGCCGAGTAGTATGTCCGAAATCATAGAATTCGAAAAATAGTATGCGAGAAAAACCTGGATGACTTACTACTTCCGGCCAGATTCTGGACTGCGATTCCCATGCATACTCTGCTATTCCATGATGCCCCGCGAAGCGAATTCATGAATGAGAGTATAGCGACGCAAATTACGCAGGTACGTCACGTGACTATGTCAAAATGGCTGATGTAGTACGTCCGAATTCCATTTATACTTTTCACTTTCATATTGTATAGAACATACTTTTCTAACGGCCGGGTAGTACGTTTAAATTCAAATGCAGTACCTACTGAGTAGTAGGCAGTTTCGGGCGTTTTTTTAGGACAACAATATCTTAAGCAGAAAAGATATTCAAAGATGCTGTTTTAAGTTGTAAAAAAAAGTTTTAAAAAATCTGTATTTTTGAAACAAATGAAGACAGCAGAAGTCAATAATTACTTTGAACATGTTTACTGCTCCAAAATATTTAAAATATTTCTCAAATTAAAATATATTGTGTACAAAGGGGAAAGGGGTTTATTTTTTTACTCAGACATTTAAACAGAATATATTTCAGAGCAGTAGCCACAAAACCGTAATACCAGGAAACCGTGATATTTATATCCAAGGTTATCTTACCGTCAGAATCTTATACCGCCCCATGCTAACCTCAAACACGTGCCATCATTTTCCACTTCAAAGACTGAGGAGCCCATTTCAGTCACATTAGAAAACCAACACGTATGTCTGAGAATTCCAGGCGTTGTGCACTTATCCCACGGCTGAGCTTCCAATGTTTTAGCAAGAAACCCTCACCTTTAAAGTCAAAGTTTGGGTGCTGGCCAAAAGCCGGCCTATTTGGTAAGAGACAAGTGTGAGTTAATCAGGCCCACCCTCTCTCTCAACTAGGTGCACATTATTTCTGATTGCAAAGTACAAATTTGAGGTTTGTTGTGTCAGCATGATTATCTAGAGTTAATATTCTACCTCCTGAAATTTGGAGGAAGTTAACCTCTGGTTATTTGGTCATGCTTGAGGGTCAATATTTTACCTCCTAAAATGTAAAGAAAGATGTGAAATTAACCTTAAGGTCATGAGACCTACTCTGTTCATTTGGTCGTTCGTTGAGCGCAACATTATAACATTAAGAGCAATACACTTGCTCTTAGATTTGTTTTTTTATATATTTGGACCAGAAATGAGACAAAACAAGGTAAGAAAATCATTTTTTGCATTGTGATTCAACTTCTGTACTCAAACAAGAAACATTAAATAGTGCTATTCAAACTGTCTTCTGAAAATGTATCCAAATCGAAATATTTATTGCAAAAAAAAAAAAAATTTGATTTAAATCAAAATCTGATTTTTCCAATATCATGCTGTTGACAGATTTTAAGATTAAATTTAAGGTTTTACTTTACCAAACTCAATTATGTTTCACTTTAGTCAAGTTTGTCTTGGGATGCAGATCAATAGAGCACCTCTACATTGTTTCAGTATATATTGTTTGTGAGCCAGACCGTCTCCACAGAGCTCATTGGCATGGAAACACACTCCTGTCTGGCCCGAGTCTAGCCATGGACTCTCTACAGCAGAGTCAGTCCAGCAGATGTGTTTATTCCTTCCACATGCTTCTCTATTTATTCAGTGTATGTGAGTGTGCCTGCATATTTAGTTGACAATATTCACAACCTTGACACTACATAAACCATAAAGTGTGCTTCAATGTTTGTATGCATGAGACCTCACAGCGCCGCCTCGTCCATCTCTCCATTTCAAGTTGTGTTTGCAAGCCCCTTAGTAAGAATCAATGCGAGGACTTGGCAGGAGTTAATGGCTGTAAGACAACCCTGGGGTGGAAACATGCTCTGTTCCCCCCGCAGGCCTGCTCCCTGCCCTCCGGCGGCTTGCGAATCAGTGCAGCCCGCTGGAGACTTGCTTGTAGGTACACTAGCTCATTTCAGCCCGAGGTTCCCCTGTTACAGAACATTTCTACACAGGATTGCTCTTTTATGTTGCTGATGCTTTTTTGGAATGTAAGATGGCTCGAGTGATTGAGGCAGATAAACAACGCAATCTAGAATGTCATGCATTTGGAATTTATGAAGCATTTTAAATCGATTCTGCTAACAGCACAGTTACGAGTTCTATTACCAGCATCATCTCCAATTTACTGCATATTATACTTTCAGTCGAAATCAAAAGGTTTATTGCAGCTGACGCATCACTTAAGTCTATCAGGGGAAATTTTAGGCAAACAACAAGCATGTGTGGCTTTTTTTTCTTTCTTGGAACACAGAAGGAGAATTGAAATTGTTGCTTTTTGTTTGATATTTGTTTTTTGTATGCTTGCAATCAGAGCTGGAGATTTTGTGAGAGGGAAAACAAAAGTGGGCATTTATAAGAATTTGAAATAACGGTTTAGTTCAGATTTGTATGTCTTCTGATGCTATTTAATTTTACAGAATAGCTGCATTGTCTTCTATTGCTGTGTTAGTTTTATTGGATCAGAAAAAAGGGAGACAGATTTATATTTCCACCATATCTCCTGTTT